GGGGGGTTGGGGGGTTAGGGCAGGGAGGGGACTGGGGAAGTGCGCACACGGGCCCACTCAGACACACGCACCCACACAGACACAGAGGGAAGGGGTTGAGATGGGGATGGGGTGCACAGCAGGGCGGGGTAGGACCCCCATAGCCCCTCCCAAAACAGCCTCTCCTTCTCCTTTGTACCCCCTTCTCCTCCCCTTCCCCATGGTAGGAATATAGCGTGTTTATATTTTATGGCCAAACTATTTTGAATTTTGTTGTCCGGCCCTCAGTGCCCTGCCCTCTCCCCCTTACCAGGACCACAGCTCCATTCCTCTGGTCCTCTCTGACCCTCCCTCCCTGGTTTCTTACATAGTTGACTCTCTCCTCTTTAGTCTTCCCGCGACCTGCTCCCAGTACCGTGGCTCCTGTCCCTCTCCTCTCTGTGGCAGTTTCATATTTGCTAAGACGAATTTGCTCATTAAACATTTTGTTGTATTTTACTTTATGGAACTGCTCTGTGTCCAGTGTGTCCGACCCCTCTCCCTTTCGGTTCTGGGCGGGCGGTTTCCTTTGGCAAACTGCGGGCCTTGGCTAGTATTTCTGGGCACCCCGTGCCTGCGCACCGGGAAGGGTTCTGGAGGGCGTGGGGCTCTGGTCTGGGCTCCCTCTGCCGAGGGGAGGGAGGGTGGCCTTGCGGGCCCTGGAGCCGCCGTGCGGGGCAGGCATGGCGTGCGCATGCCAGGGTCTCTGGTTTGCGACTCCCGGCGGCATCTCTTTCGCACGACCGCGCCCTCCGCGGAGCCGCAGCGCTGGCGGAAGTGACGTAAGGGCTCCTTGCAACAGCCGCCTGCGCGCCGGAAGTGATGCGGCCCGAGCGGGCTTGGCCGCTGAAGTGAGGCCCGGCGGGGCCAGGCGCGGCGCGGAGGGCGGGGCGCGCCGCTGCTTCCGCTTCCGGTCCGTCGCCTCCTTCGGTTTCATCCTGTCCCTTTGGCGGCTCCCTTCCCCCGTCTGGCTATCCGCGCCCCTCCCGGGCGCCGGGGCGGCGGGGCCCTCGGCGTGCGGCCTTCTCTGCGTCCGCGCGTGCGCCCGTGCGCGCCTTCGTCTCCACCGCCCGCGGCCTGGCGCGTGCCCCCGACACCGAGGCCGAGCGGGGGCAGGGGGCTGACCGCCATGACCCCCCGGAGCCAGGCGTGAGGGGGCCGAGGTGAGCGTGGGGCACGGGGCGCGGGGCGGAGCGCGGCGGTCCGGCCTGTCCTGGGCGCCCAGGCCTGGGCTGCAGCGCGGGCGGTTCCGGCCGGGCCTCTGGATCTGGGTGTCTCTGGCTTCTAGTCGTCTCTTGCCCGCCTTTGTGTCTGTGCCTGGGTCGGCTTCGACTGCCCCGTGTCTCTGTCGGTCTCTCTGTCGTGTCTGTGTCTCTGTTAACGTCTCTATGTCTTGTGGGCCTCAGCTTGTGTCTCTGTGTTGCTCTATCTCCGTGTCTGTTTCAGTGCTTTTGCAAAAGGATATGGAGATAGGAGTGTCTCTGTGTGTTTGTCCCGGCTCTCTTTCTGCCTGTCATGTCTGTGTCTAATTGTCAGGATTTTGTTCGTATCTCTCTGGGTTTCTGTGCCTTCATTTCCCCAGGTATCTCCTTCCCCTCCCGCCAGACCTCTCTGGCTCTGGTGCACGTCTTGCTGTTGCCCTGTCTTCGCATCTCATTCTTGTCTCCATACCTCTACTGGTCCCGAAGTTTCTTCGCAGGTGTCTGGTGCTTGGTCTACGATCTGCCGCCTTTCTCCAGACTTCTGAGTGTCTGGTGTGGTGGTTAAGAGCTCCAACCCTGGAAGCCCTCTGCTTGCTACCTGTGTGAAATTCCGGGTGATCTCTGTCTCCAGGCTTCAGTTCCCTAAACTTTAAAGTGGGGGCATTCGTAGTTCCTACAGCATAGTATCCTTGTGTATTTAATAAATCGAAATGATGCTCATAAAGTGCCTAACAGTGTCTGGTATGTAGCAAATGTGTAATTATTGGGAGCTTTGGTTTTTATTATTATAGTACTTAGAGATTTTCTGTTTTACACAGTAAGTGTTAGGTGTTGGTCATTTGAGTTCCTCTTTGAGAATTCTGCCATTCGTTTGCATTCTGTTTAATCTGTTAGTTTTCTTTGAGTCAGTTTAGTTTGAAAAACAGTCTCATTCTAAGCAATGTCTGCGATCTTAGCTTCTGTGTCCTAGTTGTATATTTTTTTCTAACACACTTTAAATAAGTACGCAGTATTAAGGTAACACATCTCTGCCGCCACCCATTTGGAAACTTTCTGTATTTTTTGTCTGATAATAATAGCAGCCAGTGTTACTGAGTGCCTACTATCTGTGGGGCACAGAGCCAAGCACCTTATGTACCCATCTTGTTTAATCAACAAGCCTGCCAGATAAGAATTCTTTCCTCTATTTCAGAGTTGAGCAAACTGAATCTCAAGGAGGTTTGCTCCACTGGTAGCTGATGTGGCCAGGATTTGAACCCACATTCCATGTCCTTTTCCATTCTATCTCATTTCTCTCAGTCCCAGGGCTCTTTTTGTTTCAGGGTTTATGTCTTGTCTCTTTGTCCTCCTGCCTGTCTTCCCATGTTTTTGTATGTGCTTCTTGTTATGTCTTTGTCTGTCTTACCGTGTCTCTGGGTAGCTCTTTCTGCCTGGGGTTTTCTGTGTCTCTTTCTGTCCTCGTCTCTCTCTCATTTCATTTCTTCTCTGTATTTGTCACATCATTGCTTTATCTTAGTTTGTCTGGCTGTGCCTGTGTTTGGATTGTGGCTGCCTTTGTTCAACTATCTACATCAGTCTTCAGGTGTGTGGCTCTCTGGCCTTAGTTGAAGGCAGGGGCCAGTTTCTCTCATTTACCCTCTTAGATCATGGTAGGGCTCCGAAAATCTCCTTCTGTTGGTCAGAGCCTGCTCCAAGGGTGAGATATGTGTCCCTGAGCAAAGGAGTTAACTTCTCTGTGTCTCAAGTTTCCTCTCCTCTAAGGTGGCTGTGAATCATGGAGTTGTTGTAAGGATTAGTTGAATTGATCTGTGTGCAGCACTCAGAGCAGTGCCTGGCTCAGGGTGAGTGCTGGGCAAGTGCCTGCTGGTATCGTCATTATTTGCTTCATTCCCCTCCCGTTTTTCTCATCACCAGTGGTAGCACAGGTTCATAGTTTAAAGTGTAAGTTTTGGAGTTGAAGTGGCTCTTGGGTAGACTCTGCACTGCTGTTCCAAGTGTGTGACCTTGGCTGAAATATTTAATCTCTAGGAGCCCAGTCTTCTCTGTTACATGAGATAATGTTCCTCGTACTGAGTGAGCGCCTGGTGCACAGCTAGGATCCAGACGGTGGGGCTGTGTTCCTTATTTCTCCTCCGTTGAGCCTTGGACTTTCCCCGCCCTTGGGCCACCTAGTCCCTTGATATCGCCTATCTTCTTGCCACCCTGGGTTGGCTGCCCCCTTTCTGCCTATCTCTTTGATCCCTTCATGGGCGCCTTTCCCGTGTATCCTCTGGATTCCTACATTCCTGCCCCCTCCACCCTTGCTCCAGAGGTCTTTCCTGCCCTCCCTCCTTCACTTCCTTCCTGCACCATTTACTGAATGGTTTTTCTGGGCCATCTTCTCTGCTGGGAAAAGCCACATCTAGACAAATGTGTTCTCTGTCCCCATGGGGCTCATGGGTCGACCTTAGCCACAGAATCAGACAAATGAATATAAAATCATGATGGTGACTGAGTCTACTGATGAAGCTCGCGGGAATGGCAACAGTGGTGTTTGGGTGCAGATCTGGGAAGTTTAAGTGGGTCCCTTGGGGTCAGTGGGCATCCCTGGGCTAGGAAGGAGGAAGAGCACACGGGCAGGACGGAGGGTCTCATGAAGTGCCGCCAGTGTTTACAGAGTGCTTTCCGCTCACCAGGTTATCTCAGTTCTCTAGATCATCGCACGGAGCCCCAGTTTATAGAGAAGAAAGCTGAGATAGAAAAGTTCTTGGCCTCCCCAGCATAGCCCAGCTTGGAGATAGCCGAGCTGGGGCGAGGGCCTGTGATCTGCCATTGCATACTCTGCCTCGCTGAGCAGGGACTCTGTGTAGGAGGGAGGCAGGCATGTTTGAGGAACTGAAAGCTGGATGGGGTAACTTTCAGACGGAGGTTAACAAAGGGCAGAGCCTTCTAGGCCACAGTTAGGAACTTGTCTTCCACCCTGAGGACAGTGGGGAGCCCTAGGAAGGTCGGGCTCAGGCTCTGGGCAGCCCATATCCTGTCTGTGTTTTCAGAGTTGCTCTCTTCTTCTTAGATGCAGCGACCCACCAGCACCTGCTGAGGCCTCCCTCCGAGAGTCACCCAATCACTCCACGCCTTGGGGGGCCTGTGCCCCTCACTGCTGCTGGGCACCATGTCGACCTCATCCCTGAGGCGCCAGATGAAGAACATTGTCCACAACTACTCAGAGGCAGAGATCAAGGTTCGAGAGGCCACAAGCAATGACCCCTGGGGCCCATCCAGCTCCCTCATGTCTGAGATCGCCGACCTCACCTACAACGTTGTGGCTTTCTCGGAGATCATGAGCATGATCTGGAAGCGGCTCAACGACCACGGCAAGAACTGGCGGCATGTCTACAAGGTCAGTGCTCTGGGTCCCCTCCCCTGGGGGTGGAGAATGGGGCAGAGTCTGTGTGTGCCCTGAGTAGGGGGTCTTCCCACTTCTCAAGAGGAGCTGGAATACTGCATTAAATGTAAAATCTTTTTTTTTTTTTTTTTTTTTCTGAGACAAGAGTCTTGCTCTGTCACCCCAGGTAGAGTACAGTGGCATTACCATGGCTCACAGCAACCTCAAACTCTTGGGCTCAAGCGATCCTCCTGTCCCACTCAGCCTCCTGAGTAGCTAGGACTACAGGTGTGCGCCACAGCACCTGGCTGATTTTTCTGTTTTTAGTAGAGACAGGGTCTTGCTCTTGCTCAGGCTGGTCTTGAA